CAATACGTGAAACCGCGGAATTAGTTGTAAAAACGGACAGGGAAGGGGTTCGCATGCACTAAGGACTAACACCGAGGGAGCTCCGGGACGGCCGCAGGGAAACAGAAACCGTGAAGCAGTCTATCGGAGCCTGGAAGGGGAAAAAAACCCGCTGGAACCCCCCCACCGGACACACGGCCCTAAAACAGCACTGACAGACAGACACCCTCCGGCCTCCGTCGCCTGGAAACGTTAGAGTGAGCTGTCTTTAATTAAAGATAGCAGCCTCACCGAGCTAACAAGCAGCGGCCGGCTCAGCAGGCGACAAGTGCTTTACTCACACAATTCTCACAAAATACCGATCCTCGGGGTGACGACTGTGGCTGGCGCAGCAAGGCGGCCTTCCTCCCCTAATGTAAAATAAACCTAGTTACAAATAAGCTAGTTACAAATACGCAAATTCCTCCCACAGGCGTTAGGACACAGCTGGTGCCTCTGTCCCAGGAGCAGCGGCACAGGGGAATCCTGTTCTCATCCTGCTCCTGGAATTTGCTCCTTCCCGAATCACCTCTGCCACTCAGCCTGACTGGCCTTTTAAAAACATACACCAAGGCTTTTTTTTTTTGCAAGTCAGAAAACTCCATTGAGGAAGCTCTGACACTGGAGTGCACAGTAAATAGGCAAACTAGCTGTGGCTGTACTCCTCTACGGAAAAAACAGTGCAGATTTTCCACCGTTTTGTTTATACCTAGTACCTGATCTGTACTAAAACCAGACTTGAGCCCATCTTAGAAATGTGCTCCAGCTGATTTGCTCATCCTCGCAAAGCTGAGCAGCTTTCGAAATAGGCAGATCGGGGCCAAATTTTGTCTATCTTGACTTAGCTGGAATAGTGAGGCAACTCTTGAATGCTGGAGACATAAAAATGAGGTGGCTAAGCGCTAAAAGGAAAAAAAAAAACAACCACTTCTGAATTTCTTTTAACATATATAAACAGAAGGAAAAATTAATTAAGTGAGAACCAGCGCTACTGGTATGCTCACAAAAGGGTCAGGTAGATCTTTTGGAAAGGGCCAAAAGCGTTACAAACGTCACAGCAGCTCAGGTCTCTGACCACAGCCCTGCCCCTGACTGCCGCGTTCACTGGGTCAGGACAAACACAGTGTGCCAACCACTGGCCTGAATTGGAAACGATCCATCCAGATTTATTTATTCCTACTAAAACAAAATCCTGTTAAACAGTACGTAACTCTGTGTCTCTACAAACTCACAGCTATCTGCCAAACAATAAAAATTCCAAACTACAAAAGATGAGTTGTATTCAGTAAATATAAATGGGAAATTTAGGCTTTGTGTAGAATGTTTATCAGACTATTTACAGTGCAACACGGATCGTTTGAGTTCAGATCTCGCCAGCTTCTCTCTCTTCTGATCTCTTGGAACGAGATTTGCCATTTGTGCTCTCGTGCCGCCTCTCAGAAGAGCTCTTCTCTTTTCTCTCTCTGTCTCGTGACTTTTCTCTTGAAGATCGATCTCTAGAAGATCTGAAGTACAAAGTAAACCGTCACTATAAGCTTCACAACTAAAAACCATTTTCAAATATGCACAAAATGACATCATCTTTCTCTAAAAGGGCTATGGCATAACACAAGTTTCTTACAGAAATGTGCCTAGGTACTGCGCTGTCGGGAGCAACTCTGGGCCCTCACTGAGCTTTATGTAAGAGAACACTGGCTTTGCAGCACTGAGTGCACAGCGCAGCCTTTGTTACTCTCTCCTTAGAGCGGTCCTTTTCAAGCTCTTGCCACAGGGGCTCTCTGAAGTCTTCCCTGGGCCCCTTATTAGTTTACTGGGCCATACTAAAGTGCCTGCAATTTCTTTCTCATCTATCACTCAGCTCTGTTTGTGTCCTTCTAGACTGTTTTTTCATTACGCTCTAAGCTAGTGGCTTTCTGCTCAACTGCTTTAAATGCCAACTGTATTCTTGGGACTCAAATGCTTGCTCAGCCCTGGGCTTTTTCTACTTTATATCCTGACAAGCGTTGTCCTTGGCAGCACCCTGGGTTCAAAGTCAGGATGATTACAGATTTACATTCACAGCCCATAACACTGGGAAATCTTTTCACAATGCCCGAATGACAGCTCCAGATTTCCAGAAGTGCTTCACTGTATCAGCCCACACTGAATTAAGCAGAGGGCTTCATGTTAGGTGCAATCTGAAAAGGCTGTTTTCCTGTATGATTCACGCCAGCTTATCAACTAGCAGCCTTCAAAACGTGCTGATCCCAAATGAGCCTTAGCAGCCCGTACCCCTTCAGAACTAAGCAGAGGCTTTCACAGGCCGCGCAGAGCCAGCACATTTTACTCTAGGACTCAGTAGGCAGGTTTTTCTTTACAGTCACAAGAGGACCACCTGGCAGGTACCTGAGAGGTTCCAGCTTTCCTTCAGGTTGATTGTAAGGTTTGGAAATAGCGCATGATCGATATATTAGAACCATACAGGTCTCTGTATCACATGAGCCGTTTCATTTTCATTACATTGTGTCATTTAACCAGAAGACAACTTGAGTCTGTTTGGTAAGATTGACTCTTTTCCTGTTCCCACAACAATGCCTGCTGCCCGTAGTCCTCCTACCCCGAGATCTCCAGATCCTGTACCAGGTTCTCCGTTTCTTTATAAAAGTGAGACCATGGACCAGCAGAACCTGAATGCAGGTTTCATTAATTCTCGAGGTGAAAACAGAAGCTACGCTCTTTCACAGAACAGGGTTTTTCTGTTTTTTGGTTTTATTTTATTTTCCTAAACTGATCCTGGTCTCTCCCCGGTTCTCGGTAATTCTGGGGAGGTATGCCAACTAGCCAATCCCCCTACAATCTTGATGGGCTGATTTGAATGTGTTCAAGGTTTTCGAAGTAATCCCTTACCTGCTCTTTAGTAATAGTTATTACAGGGTCTTCCTCACTTCCTAATTGTCCAAACTTCTTTTCTTTATTTTTCATGTTCAAGACAGATTTAAAAAAGGACTTTAGTATCTCAGCCATTGGAGAATCAACAGCATTCACACACCCCCCTCAATCATTAACAGACTTATTTTTTTCAGACCATTATTTCCCTCCCCTTCATCAAGTATCTTTAAAACCTGTTCTTACCCCTTAGCTAAAGGGACACAAGACACACAACAGTAGGTTTGTTTCTAGAACTGTACTTGAGTGGTGGTGCCTAATCAGGTGAGACAGTGCTAAAGCACTCCCCCATTAATTAGGAGCATTTAAAAAAAGCCAGATCTAAGTTCAGCAAGTGCCTGGGACTTGCTCCTGGGCTTAGAGGGGCTGTAAGAAAACAATGAGTCCTTTCAATTTTTCTAATACTCCTACACATGCTTGCCTCATCCTTCCTCTAACACAGTGGGTGTTTTGCTAAGTTTCAGAAGAGACTTAAAGCACATCTTCAGACTATAGCGCTTCTCCTCAGCAACAGGAGAATGGTATACTCCTCCTCCTGGCTCCCCTCCCTCCAGTGCAGATTCCTCAAGAATTCTCTCTCTCTTGAGCAGCCTTCTAACAGAAGACTTCCCCCAGATCCCAAATCCTACGCTTCCTTCCCTGTGCCAGCACTGAGAGAAAGAAGCTGGGAAGCAGAAGATAACCACAGAAATGTAACATCAAAACTGCCTCTCAGTGACTTTTTTTTTTCTTTACAGTCACAAGAGGACCACCTGGCAGGTACACCAGGCTTTTACAGGCCTGGCGAGGCTCAGTTAGCTCAAGCAGGCCTTTGTGCTGCTGCTTATACAAGAAAACCAGCAACTTCTCAAGGCTCAGCACTGCAAATCAAGGAATCGGTTCTATCTCCTAGACTCCTCTCAAGCTGGGATCTCGCTGTACAGTTACTGCTTTACTGCTCTCACAGGAGGCCATCTACCATCGGCCACTGGGGAATCCTGCTTTGCCCCAGGAGCTGGTACAGGACACTGCAGCTGCTAACTTGAGAAACCGGTCATACTCCTGCTCGCTCTAAGGGACCGGGGAGGCTCACTGTGATGCCAGGGACTCCCCTTGTCAGAAGTACTCGTGTCAGGAATACGTACTTGTGTTTTGAACTCCTGTCTCTGGAACCCCGTCGATGACCTCTGCTGTGGCTGCGGGAACGGCTCCGGTGGCGTCTGTGTCGGTCTCGGGACCGGGAACGAGACTTCCGCCTTTCACGGGAAGCCGATCTTGAGCGTCTTCGCCTCCTATCCCGAGACCGTGATCTGAAGAGGACAGAGATTGCCTCAGATTCAGGAGATGGGCCAATACATCGGATCTGTACACCTGAGCCCAACTCTCAGACATTCCCAAGTAACAAATATCCAAAGCATAACACTCACCCCCCAGCCTCATCCCTGCCTGCAGAGAAGGCAGATCACCTACAGGGTGGGCATCTCCCTCCTGGGCCTCATGCTACCAACAAAATGCCAGTGGGTACATTTGAGTTGCTGGGAAGCTTATAGAAAAAGCTCCCATCATTAACATAAGCGTGAGCCAATGCCTAGAGCAGAGCTTACCAACCATGCCTCACGCAAAGCAAGGCCTGTATCAGTAGAAGAGAGGCCAAAGTAGCATGTGAAATTATCATAACCCATATGGCAGTCTGCCAAAAGAGAGTCTCCCTTGTGGAAGTACTGCACTTTAGAAGCAGATTTGTTTCAATCTGCTCAAAAAAAAAAACCAAACAAAGGATGCCAATGTATGGCAAGCAGTAGAAGATCGCCAGGTACGTGATCACTGAGAGAAGGCTGTCATAGCGCTAAGGCAAGCTCTTCACAGAGACATGGGGGCTTTAATCTTGAATCTCTGTATTTTTACATCTGAGGTATTATATACATAACACGTATCTTTCAGACATTAAAACTATGAAAGTATATTAGGTATTTATTGAAAAAGGCATCAAGTACATTCTTAGACTCAAACTGGGGAGCACGCAGCACACACTGTCCTGACCGAGCTAGCCAGCATCTGCTTTTAGCCCAAAAGGTGGCATTAAGTTGCACAGCACCACTGAGGTGCCCAAACAGTAGTTCTCATTTCTTTCAGGGAGCACAACAAGGACACTGGAGCACCGAATGAACTCCATTTGCGAGACCCATGAAAAAGCTCGGTAGCTAGATAGAACCACAAACAGGTGTTTGGGGGAACTGGAGGAGAACTGCACACTCACCTTCGACGATCTCTATTTCTTGATCCAGACCTAGAAAGGAGAGTTAAGCAAGAGAAGGTATGATACAGTCAGTGGGTTTTTAATAGAGCAACCCATTTACCCTGGTAGCTCTTCACACAATACCCCAAGTAATACGTCGATTAAAAAAAAGCTTGCCAAAAAGACATTAGAACACAGTTATCTTCAATTTGCAGGGTGGGGGGAACAGAAATCTGTCAAAAACTGACGAACTTTGTAAAATTCCTGGTTTCTACATGCAGAGCTTCTTGTCAAAACAGAAAAAGTTTACAAACCAATTCAGTCTCTGTTAATAAAACACCAGATCAACACTAATATTTCCAAGGAAAAGTGCCAGCCTCCAGTGAGAAAGACACTTGACAATTTTCTGACTTTGGTTCCTTTAATGTCATTGCACATTAAAAAGGTTTTAATAAAGAGAAAATACAGGATTTTCTCACTCATCATGTTTATTTAACAAATATTGGATGGAAGTTTGTATCAATTGTTTTATTTCTTTTTGGGGAAAGACAAGCTAGGAAAAAAAGAGGGGACACAGATGCAAGGGAAGAACTATGACTCAAAAGTAACTGAGATACACAGGAAATCCTTCATCCCAGACTTAGAAAGCGACTTGAGAACAATCATCCAAGTCTCACTATTCTTTCTCACATTTCTATGGCTTCAGAGCTCATATATGGCACTCTAACCTTAACGCTGTAAGCATTAGCTTTTGACAGCCTGTAAATAACAATGTCACAATTCTTTCAACTTCTGAAGCGCCATTACACAGCACCACTTAAAATACCACTCTATGCAAAATACCACTTGAAATACCACTCCACTCCCTTTTTCTCTATAGCCACATTTCAGAGCCAGCCTACACCAAAATGTCACACACTACCCAAACGATCTCTTTTTGCTTTAATTGAGAAGTGGCCAGTCTCCTTGTTTAGTGACTTAGAGACTCACTCTTGTAATTGCTCCCTTCTCCCCACTGCATACAGACTCACAGGGTCTGTTCCAGTTCCACAGCCACACACCTGTTCTGGCACTGTAACAAGAGACACGGCTGAAAGCTACACGCAAGACAGAATTTCAAAAAGCAATAGGGAAGCATCTATTTTAATAATAAAGTAAAACCATAAGACAAGATTAAGAGAATCAATGTGCACCGACATTCCTCCGTGATGAAATGGGATTGTTCAATTATGGTAGAATGAAAAAAAAAAACCCGAAAAATTTAGAAAGAATTCAGGTAGGAGGACTGTAAACAAGGTGGAGTCAGGCAAATGAACCATGCGCTGAGGCAACACACAAGACAACCAAATGAAGGAAAAGCTGATAAACCAGGAGAGCAAGGCAATAGCCACACACCTCCTCTTTCATGTAACAGAACCTGACAGAGCAGCAGGACCTCCTGTAGATGCCTGGCAGGCAGCTGAATTTTTTTTTGGTGGCTGTAATTACTCCAAGTTCTTAATGTTCTTTTCCTCCTGATCACTTTATTCTGAATCACCGGTGCACACATCCACACAAAGCCATTCCATATCCCCTGAAAAGCCTGGCTGCCCTTCCACGCCTATGATCTGAGCAGGAGTTTGCACAATAAACTCCTGATAATCACTCTCTAGCACTATACTTCAGAATTCAGGAAGCATCTAACAAAACAGCACTTACCTTACTAGCCTGAATCAGTATACAACAGGAGACAGTAGAAGACTGCTGTCCAGAGAAGTGAGAGGCTGATCATACTTATTTTTTTCCCCTCTTTTTTGTCCCTGCATCACAGAGGCTGCACGCTGAGTTTCATAACCTGTGTTTTGTCCAACTTACTACAAAGGAAATCCATTTGGCAACTCCACCTAGACTTGTTTGCCGGCGTACTCTGGAAGCAAATACCGATGTCTGCTCTTCCAAGCACGCCACCTCTTCAGTATTAAGAGATTACTACTGGGTAGCCCATAGTCACCAGCAACACAAAACAACACAGGACAGAAGACTTGTCTTTATTTGCCACTACAGTTCACTCATTCCTACGTAGAAATCACAGTTTAGTTGACAAATTAATAAGTCTGTGACAGCCAGAGTTTCACATGTGAATCTACAGGTTTCCATAGTATGTCATAGTGCCTATAAGCCGCCAAAGACTTCTCGAAGTCAAGCGGTACTCTTTCTCCTACTGAATAATACCGTGAAGATGCTGCATATGAAGACAGGACAAGAAAAATTATGAAGACAATACATTTGCAATGGTTCCTCCAAGTATCAAGCTGTATATTAGAGGCAGTCTGAAAGGCAGAAGTCATTGATTAGTTTTTGATGGAAAAACGCCCCTGTAAGCATGGTGTTGCACAGCTCCCAGAGAAGGTGCTGAGAAATCAAGAAATCTGGGCTCTAGTCCCAGTTCTGACACTATGTGTCCACTGGGAAAACTATTTTCATTCTTTGGGTCAAGTTCTCATTGTGGAGAGGCAAATAACTTGACCGTGTGGCCGAGTGCCATATGGCACTCCTGGCTCCTTCATAACATGCTTTTCTGTGGTATCTGAACAGAGAAGCATACAGATGCCTCCATACAGAGAGAGCACAAAGGCTGGCCAAATAGTGCCATGTATGGAACCAGCAAGAACTCAGACTTTAGGCCAACTCAGTGCAGTTCTTAAACACTTCACATTTAAAGTATTAAATATACAAAAGTCATCTTCAACCCCCCTTATCAGATGCATCCATATGTGCACTACCTCTGAACACAAGAGGCTCCTTAACAATCAGGAACTGAGATTTAAAAAAAAAATAAACCAAACACAAACAAAAAAAAACAACAACAAAAAAAGACAAACACAAAAACCAAACCACAGACATGCCACATTAAGAAGAAAGCCAGAATTCTGAGGAGATCCAGAGAACTCTTCCTGAAGGCAACTCAGTTGAGCAATTTTCACACAGAAATGATCTCCAGGAAGAAGAGGCACCATGGAGACAGACACACTAAATCCAGGTTAGATATAGTCCTACTGTTGGTCTGAAAGAGCCTGCCACAAAGGAGCTCCATGGGAAGACACTTCTTGTTTCATTTCCATCTTTCTGTCCACAGCAACAACATACATCTGTCTCTTTTGATTAACTCCAGCACTCATCAGCCAGTTCCAGATTCTGCAGCTCTCAAATATACCTGCATTACTAACAAAGTTGAACGGCTGCCAGAAAGTTGTGAGGCTCCACATGAAGTGCTGCAGTTCAGGATAAAGCTGCAGCATGAACTGGCATTTCATATGACACTAGGCAATCCACGTGGAGAGAGAACTCACATAAAACACTCCAACTGGAGAACACATAACAATTTGGGGTTTGCATCTTCCCAATGCATCAAAATCACCAAGCCACAGACCACAGAAAACCAAACTGCTTCAAATCTGGTATTTATTTGCTAGCATTTCCAGCAATGCATGCCCAGAAGCCAGCATCATCTTAGAGCAGACTGCAGTTATGTATCTCTCATGCCTCAGACATAGATAGCTGAAACACACTCTGCAGTTTACACTGAGCATCAAACTAAGCTTTCCACAGGCAGCAAGGCTGTTTTTTGTTTTTTTTGACGCAAGAAGAGGAGAAAGATGTGAGGTAACTGGGGAAATGCTGAGACAATGAGAACAGCATTCCTACTTGGCCACTTCCTCTGCCTGACCATTGGAAATAACCACCCTCTCCACAGCAGGCTGTTTAACCAAGTTGTTTACACACAAGATGCCTACTCAAGTAAAGAAGAAATAGTTTTTCCAGTTCAGCTGGCAAGAGGCAGAAGAGCTTGTCCTGAGAATACCAACACTGCAGTCACTCCCACTGTTCAGGGATTATAGCCATATGAGCAGAAGATGACACATGGCCACAACCACCAGAAGCAGCCACTCCTTGGGATCTCTTGGATCCCCCAGGAAGCGTTTTCCAAAGCTGTGCCAAAAGCACCTGACTTCTTGTAGAAAAGTTTCTGAGCAAGACAGGCAGCCCCCCATCTGGCTTATGGCTACCAGCTCCATTCTGCTGTTGCCTCCTAGCCTGGAAGGGAGGAGGGATGTCCAGGGAATTTTTGCATGACTAGTACCATTTGAGCAGACCTAGTCCTCACTCATCTTAAACTTTCCCACTCAGACGCATTGGATGAGGGCATTTTATCAATTCAGATTCCCAAAGACAGGGACTAGACCAATACAAGCCTTAAGACTACAAGGAGCTCACATCTTTCAGATACACGATGGAGGTTAAAACAATACACATACAATCACTCTAAGGTGGGGGTTTTGAGCATTTGTTTTAATCTTTAACTGAATGCCAAGGTGCTCACACAGGATCTGGAGCATTTCCAACAGCTGCTCCAGCAGCAACTGCTGCTTTCCTGCAATGCTCAGATGCAAGAAATCAGACTATTTCAAAACCAACTTCACAAACCAGTTATCGGCTTCCACTTACCGTCTGCCCATTCTCTCCTCTCGTTCTCTCTCCTCTCTCCGTCTCAAACGATCCTGGTTTCTCTTCTCTTGCTTTTCTGCCACTGTTTTCTAGAAAAAAGTTCACATTGCATTTCAGCCATACAGTAACACGTCAAAGAGATCTGCAGGGAGACTATTTGGGTGATAAGACAAAGAACCATTTCACTGCCTTTTATGTGCTAGTCAAGACCTCTGTCAAGGTTCTCATTTTCCTAAAAGTTTCACCAACATTCATCAGTGCAAGAAATGCTACTCTGCCTCGAGTGCTTGCACTCAAACAGACAAGCCCATAAGCTTTGAGGCAAGGGACTGTCTCACCACGAGCATACACAACACAATGAAACAGTGCTCTGGCCTCGCACCAATCGAGGCACTGACCTCAATATACTGCCTAGTGAATACTGCACAGGAATCACAATGGTTATTCAAGCAGGCTAAATGTGTCTGTTTGCGAGCAAGGCCAGCACCGCAATTCCATTAGAAACCATTCCAGAAAACTTCTAAATCACTTCAGCTACTGAAGATCATCTTCACTGACCACACTATGTGAAACTTCGGTTCACACATTTCGTTAAGAGGTCTCAAAGTGCTCTTCAGTATTCAAAAAACTCACAGTGACGAATTTTAGCCAAACCAATGAGAATGAGCAATGGGACAGTCACATGTATTTAAGGAAGAAATGACAGCAGTGATCTGGTTTGACTAATTCTGAGGGTACATATTTAGTTAGACAGAAATTACAGAACAGAACCCAAGATGAGGCTACTTAAACCTCCACTTGAAGTTTCAATCAGAAATTTCTGGGCTTCTACAAGCATTCTGCAAAGAATCCTGTATGAATCTAATAAAAGTGTTGAATGCCTTCAGAACTACAAGGACAAGGTTTAAGACAGAGAGAATTACCCTCAGCTGATCCAGTTTCTCACGAATCTGAATGAAACCCAAGTGTAATTTGCCTCCAAAGTGGTCAGCAAGACGCCGGTCGTTGTCATGGAGACCCAGATATGCTGAACAGACCTCACACACACGCAGCTTCTGCTGCTGGAAACTGGATGCAGGCATTGAATTTCGGTATTCTTCCTAAAGGGAGGCAAAAAACCCACACAAAAGTCAGGGAACCCTTACATAGTCACGACCCTCCAGGGAAACCAAAAATTACCACCCCTCATCCAAAGATAAAAAAAAAAAAAAAAAAAAAAAAAAAAATCACACTCAATATAAAGGAGGTACCCTACAAAACACTCTGTGAGCACAGCTAACCTGACAGTCTATCCCTGCAAGTTACTAGTGACCAAAGACTTTGGAGGACAAATCCCCCCCCTGCCCCAGTCAGCTATCTTCACTAGATAAAAGTTTCCAAAAAGCTTTTTTTCACCTACGACACTACACTGCCAACTCCTTTCCAGCACATGGCTGAAACTGAAAAAGAAGGTGCTGGCAAGATAGAAAAAGAGGTAGGAACTACTCAGCTGTTTGTCATATGCTCAGCCTCGCTCAGTCCACTATTACAATTCATAGGAGAACCAAGGCCATACCTCTGCCTCTTTCTTTTTTGCTCGGACTTTCTCCACTTCCATCAGGATCTTTTGAGACTCATCAACATTTCCTTCAGCTCCCAGCTGTTCAGCTTTAGCTAGGAGTTTTCCAATGTCTTCATTCAGCTCATGTACTTTCTCTGCCTAAGGAGAATAGTTAAGTTTTTAGTAAGACAAAAACTTGCTAAAGCTTGCAGGTCAACTTTTCTTTTTCCTCTAAAAAAAAATAAATATATATATTAACAAAAGCAGTGTTTGGAAGATGACCATAAATCTCCAAAAGTCAAAGAAGTCCCAACAAAAAGGGACTGGGGGACCAAGTACAAGCAATGCAGTCACAGACATACAGAAAAGAGAAACTAGACACGGAGAGGACATCATCAGTTCTGCTGCAAACAGTGGCCCATTTCTGGCTTGCAGGACAAGATAGAGTTTGCAAAACCAGCTTCAGAAATGCTTTGTATGGTCCCCATGAAGGAAGCTCCCAAAGAGGAAACTCCATGAGCATTTATTAAGTAAAAAGACAACAATCATGGGATGGATTTACTACTCTAAGCTATTACATTAACACTGAATAGTAGGGAGGAAACCAATGCTTTACTGCCAGGCTAAAGCAACCTATTTTAGAGTTCACGTTATACACTTCTATGTCCCTCTGAACCTTTAAGTTTGCCACAAGAATGGCCAGACAAGTATTTGAGAATGGCTGGAATCCACAGTGTCTTTGGGAGCTTAACTTCCCAGTATCAATGGTGTCAGGACAACAGAGCACCAGTGCTCTCACACAGACTTTCAGAACAAACGTTTACTGAGAGGACAATACCTTTGCAGACACTTCCGCACTGATCTCTTCCTGTGTCTCAGCCAGGCGTTTCTTGGCCAGTTCTGTTCTCCTATCACACTCTGCGATGAAGGATTCCAGGTGATCCATCGCCTGCATGTTCAGACAAAGAATTGTGAATAAAGATGCTCTCCATGCCTGATTTAGCTTTGACAGCCAACAGCTAGCTGGTGCAATCCCTGTATAATGCACCCACAACCTCAAGAATGGATGCCTTGAGAAAAAGATAGATGACACCGCAGAAAAAGTAAAATTTGCTCCCTGCCCTTAAGTCTGTCATCTGTCTGGAACCTGACACAGTTCCTTTACTTTGACACGTAACAGGATGCTCACATGAAGACTGCTTTCCACGCATGAGCAACAGGTGCAAAGACAAAAGCACTGAAATAACATGAAAAGAGAAGACAGAAATGTTCTTCCGCTTGATCTGTTCCATCATAGAAAGCTAAATCTGGCAAAAATGAAACCACAGAGCAGCAGGCTTTTAACGTCAAATCTCCTTCTGGGACAGGCCACCAGGCTACAATGACCTGGTACAGAGCAGCAGGTGTGGGACGTAAGGAATGCCAGAGGAGCCTCCCAGCTAGCTGGACTAATGGGGTTGCAAGGACCATAATTACTTTTACAATTTCAAGCCAGCATTCGGGAAGGCGCTGCACATTCTTGTCAGATAACACATCAAATAACATGGCTAGCTGAAATGCCCACCAAGTTCTACTGTTCAGTCAAATAACTTCAAGTGGCAGTTTCCAAAAAGGTAACAAAAATTTCTCCGTACTCACATCCAGCTCAAAAAACAGGTCTCTCTCTTTACTTGCAATCTCATAATCTGCTCGCAGTGCCAGGTCGTGGATCTTTGTACATTCTCCCAGGTCCATTCGCTGTTGAAAAGAAAAAGGAAAATCAACATTTGAACACTCCATTATGGGAAAAAGCAGCAGATACTTAACTCTTGCCAACTGTTTCACATCAAAATACAGCCTCTTTAGGCAGAAAAGCTTCCTCTTAGCCTCTCAGTAACAGAACTAGCTAGAAAAACCACATGCTTGCTAGAATCCCTTCTCTGGGTGTTCCTGGAACATTAAAACATCCCAAATGTTTGGAAAGTCCAGTCCTACTTCTGCTCTAGGTCACAGCACAGCCTTAGAAATTGCTGGGAGGGAGCTGGGAAGGCGCAGCATACTGCCGCAGCAACACCTTCAATGGGCACCGAATGCCTCCTACTATGGACCTACAGCACAGCTTTGTACCCTGTTTAAAGCTCACATCTGTGTCAGGAGGAGCCCTAGTAATGTACTGAAAGATACCAAATCATAGAACACAGAGGGAATGCTTCCTATGAAGAACAAATGGACTCAAGGGAATAACGGGTGCGGCCAGTAGAAAAGCATAAACCCACGGTCAGCAACAGCAGACTCTGAATCCTACAGCTAGCCCCTTCCCACATTCCGCTGTGGTCTGGGATTTTAAAACCTGCCCAGCAAAGCTAATTCCTACGCTTAAGCTCATCTAATAAAAGACTTGTTGAGAGCACCTCCTCTCCCAGAAAGCCCTGACTTGCATGCTGCGCATCACTCCCATTGCAGTTGATGCTATTTAAATTTGTTATTTTTCCCCAACCTAGTAGTTAATAGCCACATGAACCAAAGTTAATTATGCTCTCAAACCATGGAAATTGCATTTTGACATTATCAATATGTAACAGAGAACATTTTTCTTATTCTTAAGTAGAAAAAGAATATGACATTTTGAAAGCCAAAATAATAAAAGGCCTAAGTGTGAGCTGCAGTTATGAATGGTAGGGTACATGTCACCTCAGCCAACCATTCTGTTCTCTCCCAGTCACCATCAGTCCCAAGGAGCCCAAACCTGAACACAGCACAACAGGTGTCAACTCACTGAACTGCAGAAAAAGCTAAATACAACTAGATCAGGATCAATCCCTGTGGAACACCACAAACTAGAGCTGGGGGTGCCAGGGGCACCTATGCAAAGCACGTGGACAGCAGCAACGGAAGTGTTTAGAATGAAGCAAAGCAAGTAAAGCAAGCTCCACCAGGTAATGCAATTACTTGTGTTTTTAGCCTTTCTTTTTTAAACAAAGAAAACGATTCTGGATGACTTGCCACTATTTAGTCTTCCTCATTTTGCTCAGATTTACCAGAAACATGAGGCCACAGGCAGCAGGCTACAGAAACAGACACTGCATCCAGGAATAATCCTGCTGAGCTCTCTAATGGGGGAAATTTAATGCCTACAAAAAAAAGCATTCTGGTACTTTCAGAGCTTAATCATGTTCCTCTTCAGGCAAGTCTCTTCAAAGAATGCTAGCAAGCTACTGTTATTTTACCACAAAAGTAACCTCCCATGATGTGACTTAAATCTTTTATTCTTATGGTTATTCTACTGAGATCCCTGTCCAATATAGGGAAAAACCAGCAATATTAGATATGATTGTCACAGATCATAAGCATTCTTATCTGAAGTCTTCTTGCAAGCTGAGCCACTAGCTCCACTTTAGAGAAAGGGCTCCAATCCAAAACTTCACAATAGCCTACAAAGTGCTCTGTATTCCTCTCCCTGTTTGTTAAAAAGGTAACGACTCTCTCAACCTCTTCCTCTGGGGGAGAACATTCAGGTTTCCCCAGCATACAAACCTCAAGTCTTCCTCCACATCCTTGGAGATGACCTAGGCACAGGTGTTGCTCACTTCAGGGAAGACCACTAGCCCTTTTGTCTCAAAGAACCCCTTTGTCTCAGGGAGGCCTGGCATCAAATACTCAGCCTTTCCAGCCCTGATCGTGACTTGCTCCAGTTAACACCTGTGGCTGGTTTATAATACAGGTCTTTGAGACAGGTAACCAGCAAAGCCTGAGTAAAGATTTAATTCCCCATACACACAAAAATTTAATACATTTAGATGCCACTGATAATTAGACCTGCTCACATTTGCTGAGTAATACACATTCCGAGGTATCTCTTATGATCTCCACTAAACTGATAACTCACCAAAAAGTCTATTTCCACAACAAAGGCTCTTTAATAGTAATCAGAGCTGCAGAGTTTTGCCCAAGTAAAAAAGGAAAGCCCCCCACAAACCAATTCTGTAGCGTACAGAATCACTCATAACTCCTGTGGGAAGACAGACACGACACAACTAATTCCCTGAATGTAATTTCCAAAGCTATGTTTTACCTGGGCAGCTTTCAGACTCGTCTGTCCACTTATTAGTGGAGCTAAAATTCAGGAGGATTACCAGCTGATGCCACCTCTGAATGTGCTGCAGTACCTCCACTGACAGAAATATGCTTACCGTTAGCTGCGCAGCTAACTCAGTGCAGGTGACTAATGATCTAGTGACAAATACCCTGATAACAACGCACAGGCATATTACACTAACTTGTGTTCTCCCAGAGTTTTCCTCCTTTCCCATGGAGACCAAAATGAAAACCATTGTCATTTATTTAGTGATAAGTTTAGACAAGTTTCTGGGGTCAAAGGCTTTTATGACCAGGAACATTGGCCCAACTAAACAAAGCAAACATCAGCATGCCTTCTGCAGCTCTCAGGAATGTTCCAGAGCTTTACTTACAGTCTGGACTCCTTCTCTTACTCTGCACCTGAAGGTCAGTGAATGGGACTCCATTACATTTCACTGAGCACAGCTACCCAAGGGATCCAGCTTCCTGCTCATCTCCAATCAGCCTCCCACTAAGGAATAGCTGCACATGTGAAGGATGCAGCAGTAAGAATGCCTTCAGGATGCAACATAACCAGCACCAGAAGGGTCAGGGCATCTGTTGCAAGTTTCCAAAAATATCCAAGGTGCTGATTTCGGCAATAAAACACATCCAGAGATGGATGCTACCCCCTCCAGATGAGGCTGGTTCACCCACACAGCTCTTCCTTTAATGGAGCACCGTAAGATGCCAGTGAACCTGACCAAGATCACGAGGAAAGCCTGTGCGTTCCAGTTATGTTTCATTCTGCGCTGGTACCGCTGACAGCTGAAATGCTGTTCCCATTCCAGACATCACATGTTGTTTCAACACGTATCTGTGGCACCAGAACTTTTTCTTGCCCCCAAGAACCTGCTGACAGCAGTGCAGGGAGCTCCACAGCCACTTAAAGGCCACCACAAGATCATCTGAGCGATCCACAAGTTCACTTGCACAGAAGCAGTCTTCCTTCCTGCTCCCGTGTGAGATTTCTGAGCACAAATTCCACAGCACAAGGGAAGAGACAACTCACTGTAGACAAGTAACAACAGAAGCAAGAGAAACAGATTTCTCAATGTGCTTCTCTGCCCCAGGACTTCCTCTGTGCTTTGGCACTAGCTCCAACAGTCACACATCACTTAATTCCACCCCTTCAACTCACCCTTTACCTTCTTCCTGGAAACATGCCAGAAGAGGTAGAAAGCAGCCTGCATCTTCAAAGCACCCTTTGGGCCCCAAAAAACTGTTAAGAGTCTCATGTCAAAAACCATACCCTAACAACAGCAACATGGACAAAGGATAGAGGTGGGCAGAAGGCGATTTAAGCAGCTTTGCAATTCTGAAATGGAAGTGAGGGGGACATGGAGGCTGATGGAGCGATTGCTGAAAAATACATCTGAGCTTCAAGTTACTAAAAAAAAATATGGAAATTATAGAGATTGCTGTTCAACTTCCAATCTTATTCTACAATAGCAGCCATTGAGAAGCTAAAGTTTGGGTGCTCAGAGCGGAGGCAGCTTTTGCTAAAGTTCTTTCTACTAGTGCTGCCACAGAGTCTTGCTATCAGAGTGACACAAACAAGAGGAAGGAGTGCCAGCCCTCCCCTTTGTTGGTAACACGCTGTCTCAAACTCAGCTCTTGAAATAACAGCAGGAAGGGCTATAAATAACGACAGTATCTTTAAACAATCTGGTTAAGTGGATGAACAATGTGAATCGCCACAGTATTTACCATCAAACAGTGAGGTGAAGATGGGTTTCAAACATCTATATTCATCTCCACCCTGCAATTCTGTAATACAGCAACAATTACAAAAGCCATGCACTGTTTTCTTTTGAAAGTCAGACTGCATCTTTCATCTGGACGCCGAAACTGAATATTCACTTTGCAAGATCTTGCTGTTAAAAGCCCACATCACCTTTTGCTCTCAGAGAGAACATGAGAGCCAAACCTTTGAAAACTGGCCAGCTCTGTCTCCAGAGGGCAGCAGTGAAGGAGCCGACTCAACCGTTTCAAACCAGTCAGGCAGAGTGACACACTGCTCGGACCAAACGACTCAAAGTCGGCCTGAGCTGTAACCTGCCATTAGCACATCAACCGGTAATGACAAAAAAGCTGCCATTCCATCAGGGGAACATCACGTGATTGGAGAGAGGAGACTGAGCAGCTCCATAGGCTAAGGATTATTGCAGCTGGTGAGAAAAAAGAATTGCTAACCTGAAGATGCAATGGTGAACTAAAGCACCCAGGACAGCAGACTAGCTACGGTCTTGCGACCCCCACAGGACAAGTTTGAGGCTCTAACCATCTCAAACTGCTAAAAGAGAAATAACCTTGCAACTTCATGTGGGATTGTGAGAGAAAAAACATTTCAAGCTCATTCTGAGAGCTACTGACTTCAGCAGTTCCATACACAGGTCACAGAACCTGAAATTAAAATTGTGACTGCTCCTTGGGCACAGAAAGTCTGATCTTTCCTAGAAGTTACCTACAATGCACAGATGAACCCTGAAGAGCTGTACCAACATCTGCCTCACCAGAATTCCTCATTACAGAGAATATACTTACTGTTCCGGCCAGGATATCATGAGGACAGCAATCCAGAAGATGGCTCTTGCAAACACGATCGTCTGTAAACTTCACCCTTTGTCTGGTTTCATCTCCTGAAATTCATTTGTGGTTTTAAATAAGGAGACATTAGAATACCAATAAGAGAACAAAGATGTCGGTATGATCATTTCGCATCAATATGCAGATTAAAACACTTGGCGTTCCTGCTCCCCAAAATTACTCAAAAAAAGCTCAGAGGGTAACAGGATATTCTGGAACACTTATAATTGGCAACAAACACTATTTTAGCATTTATTCATCCAGTACACCATGTTAAACACAGTGTTGGCGAGCCAAGTAACGTCCAAGGCCTGTCATCCATATAAAGAGACAGCACAGCCAGAAGAGAAAAAAGGAGACAGACAGTCTGGCTCACAGCCAAAACCTTTTTTTTTCCCCCCCTTTTTTACTGTGAGGAAGGGGCAGGAGGTACCAAAACCCATGCTATCGGAGGGCCATGAATCACAAAACAGGGCTGTGCTGGACATTTTTTATAGCCACTTGCTATTTGCTCATCTGATAGTTAAGACATCGGTCCATTTGGTTTGAAAAACCAAATATGCAGTGTGCTTTCCAAGGCCGTGCAAAGACGAATCTTGTAGGTCTTGGCCTGGAACACGAAGCTTGCTTCCCACCCACATCCCACCCTCAGAAGACATTTTACACTCAGGAGCCACTTAAACAAGACAATATCAGAAAAGCAAAAAAATAAAAAATAAAAAAGAAACAAAGTTAGTCAATACACACTGCGAGCTCCAACATATACTATACCCATCTGCATTCTTCAAGACCTCAGCTGCAGAATTTTATGCCCACTGTTGAAAAGTTTTAAAGGAAAAGTTTTCTTGCCCACACCTGCAGTAAGGAAGTCAGGGGAATGATACATAAAAGTAAAGGCAAAGTGGTAATGGTATGTGACAATTTTAAAGCTCATCTGTGTATATGACACAGGTATGTGTAATACTAAAGTATGAATATAGTTTAGGATTCGCAAGCATCCAGGAATAATGTTGTGTCTACTGAAAATGTTTTTTTATTTTTTTTTTCTTTCTAAGCTACACTTTAAAAGTTACTTGTGAAAAAAAAAGCAAACACTTTTTTTTTTTGTTATAACAGCTTTAAAAATTGGTTGTGACTCACGGCTCGATGAACATGAGGCTTTTCTGCAACTCCCTTGCAGATTGATGTAGGCAGGCAAAGATACACTGAACCTTTATAAATAAAATAGAGGGGCCACAATTGTTCAGTTTGTATGAAATAAAAATATGGGAAGCAATTCAATAGCAACTCAATACACAAAGAAAGAAAAGCACTTATTCACTTACGAAACAAAGTGCAAAGTACCTGAACAGCCCTGCTAACGTGCCAAAGGGAATTTAAGTACTCGGCAAGTCGCAGAAGGGAGAAACAAACCGCAGTGGGAACATATTTTGCAAAGGCTGCCACATTTCTTTTCTTGGACAACAACTATACCGGCCGGCTCCCGCAGGCACACCTACCTACATGCCTCTGTATGTACGGCGTGGCCTGGGCACGGAGCTTTCCCTAAAACCTCTCTGCGGCAGCCGGGGCCCGGAGCGGCGGGCTTCTCCC